TGGGTGTGCGAGAATCGCCCTTCTCGAGATATACAATGATTCGTAGCGAGAGGGCACCCTCCAGTTAACTGGAAGACCAGCCGTTCAGTTCCACTACTGAAGCCTGGCAAATCACTATTGGTGCTCACATCGTACCACCCGATTGCACTGGCTAGTTGCTTGGGCAAAGTGATGAAGAGGATGGTACTAGGGCGCCTAGAATGGTTCATGAAGCATCACAACATCTACCCGGACACTATGACAGGTTTTTGCCGTGGCCGATCTTTGATTGATAGCGTCATAGGCTTGGTCAGCTACGTGCAACACAAAAAAGGCCGTAAGCGTCTCTGCATTTTTTTATTTCTTGATATAAAAGGGGTGTATGATAACGTCACTCATGAAGCTATCCTCACCGCTTTCAGAGAGGTAAGAGTGGGCGGTCGGATCTTTTAGTGGCTACGCAGCTACCTCTCTGTTTGCATCCTTTTTCGTGAGAACCAAGAATGGTGACACTTCGCTATATTACAGCCACTGCTGGTGTTCCCTAGAGTGGCGTACTTTAGCCCAGTACTATTCAACCTGACGCTAATCGCTCTTTATGAGCATTTGCCAAGTACTGTGAGAGTGTCTATGTACGCGGATGACATCTGCGTTTGGACGTCTACAGTAACACGTCTACAGCTGCGAGCATGAATTCAGAGAGCTGTCACTCATGCTTTTATTTACCTGCGTAAACGAGGTCTGGAAAATGTCTTTGATAAAAGTGTACTTGTGGCATTTACGCGCAAACCAATGAAGAACGACAGCGTTTCTCTGAACATCGAAAGGATACTTTACCTCCGACCGTACAAGTTCCTAGGTGTTATAATCGACTGAGACCTCTCATGGAGCCCACATGTATTATACATGAACAGCCGGCTGACAGGCATCTGTCATTTGTTCAAATTCTTCGCTGGAAAGAACTGGGAAATGTCCACAGCCGCTATGTTGCGACTATACAGGGTTCTTTTCTTTGATTTCTTCGGTACAGCCTACCTGCGTTAGCCAACGCAAGTAAAACAAGTATACGAATGCTTTAAAGTTACCAGGCTCAAGTCCTTCGGATTTGTCTAGGCTTGCCCCAAAATGCATCAACAGTGGCAACTATTGCCATCACAAAGAACCACCTCGTCAAGACCCATAATAATGTTGAAGTGCTGAAGACGCATATACGACACCTTGCTTGAACTCCTTGACATCACCTAGCCTCTCTACCAGTAGACCGACCATGCATATCTTACTGAAAAGCAGTGAACTCACATCGTGAGTCGATTCCAACTCCTGCCAGTAGACCTGTGACTCTGCCATGGTGCCTCACTCAACCAAATAATATTTTACCATACCTGGCTTTCAGTAAAAAGTCAATTTGTCGTCACCGGCTCTTAAGCAGCCCACACTACTTCTCTTATATTAAAAAATACTAAGACTTCATACATATATACACTGACAGATCGGTTCAGCCGAACAGCTCAACTGGAGCAGTCGGTATACCAAGGTTGGTCACGACGATTAAATTCAAGACATCCCACACAACAACATCAATGGCAGCAGAATTGGCAGCACTTCCTACCGCGTTACAATTTTTAATTGGTCAACCTACACGCAAGTAGGCTATTTTCTGCGACTCGAAGGCGGCACTGCGATCTCTACTGTCTGCTTACGCCGTGGACCACACAAGCAGCTGGTACTAGAGATAGCAGAGGTTATACACCACCTGTCTAAGAAAAAGCACCAAATTATACTTCAGTGGTTGCCCAGTCACTGCGGAATCATCGGCAATGCACGGGTCGATCAAGCTGCCCACTCAGCCCACGCAGAAGATCACGAACTACTACTACCACTATCTAGGATAGATGCTGCTTGAAAGCTCCGCTTGCTTGCTCGCCAGCAAACCACATCAAAATGAAATTGGAATTAGCCGCACCTCAAACATGCTTTACTGTACTCACTTTATTCTACGTTAAGTCTTAATGTCCCATCTAGGCTGTGCTGAGCAGACCAGAGCCTTTTATGTAGGCTGCGGTTTGACATTGCGTTTACCAACTCCTACACTTTCTGCATTGGGATGGCCGACACCACAGCCTGTGGTCACTGTGGCAAAAAGAAACCAGCCGACATATTCTTTGTGATTGCCTAGAGTATAGTAATCACTGTGCCTTCGCAAGTAACTCAGAAATTTAGAAAATAAACCTCTGTTGGAGGAAAAAATTCTAGAATTTTGACAAGATGCAACTTCACAGAATAAGGCCTTGAAAGTGCTACTGCACTTTTTTGCGTTCGACCGGCTGATTGGCTGTAGCCAGAACGCCCTTCCTGTGTGTGTTTTGGTTTTCTCAAGAGTGTACGTTAGTTTTTTTTCTTTCTTGTTCTATCTACCCGCTGTTTCTTGCCCCTGTTTCCCCACTGCCAGAGATGGGTAGCAAACCAGATGCCAATATGGGGTTAACCTCTCGGCCTTCTTTTCTCTCTCTCTCCTCTCTGTTCACCTATTGTTCGTGGTGCATACCCACTATGGAAGATTGGCCAAGAATTGAGTGGCTTTTAAAATGATTGTTCAGATTTGCAATAATGGAAATTTAATAAAAAGATTGTTGATGGCCTAGGAAATTGTGTTGCTTGATCTAATAGTTATAATTATTTAAATACAAACGAATTTATTCTTAGAATAGAGCAATAATGTGATTTTATTATGTATATAATTGTGAAGACACGTCAGGATGATGAAACACTATAATTAGTCAATCTATTAGTTTCATCAATATAGTTCTGGACGGCCGCGCATACTGTCGCATTAGAGAACACAGAAATGGAAGCTCCAAAAGACAAAATGACAGGCACATATAAATCCATACCGTTACCGCGTGATGGTATTTCTAAAATGATTTTTCGTGATGTGTAAAACCACCTGCAGGTAAACAAGAAATGGTCTATTGTTTCAAGGTCATCACAGAACGTGCACAGTGGCGAAGGTGCCTGAGTAGACCGGTGTTTATAGGAATTTAGATTTGGTACCCGGAAACGCAGCCTTGTGATAGGTACTTCTAGTTCACGAGTGCGGCAGAAGTCTCTTCGCCAGGCATATAATAAATGGCGATATTCTGTGGAGTTTGTTAGTGCTGAACCTTTAAAGACTTGCATAAGCGTACATCTGCGGAATCGAGCAACGTCCACATAAGCAGATGATGGACAGTGTGGTAGAATCGGTCCGCTAACTGATGACTTAGCTAAGGATTCGGCTATTTTAGTTAGAATTAAGCCTTTATATGAAGGCACCCAAACTAATCGGACTTATCTCAAATGCACAGGCACTTGTGCACAAAACGCCTTTGTTACTTGATTATCAACACTAACAGAAACTGCCACACAGAGAGATAGAGAATCTCTTATTATAACAGCGGATATAATTGCTGTATCTAACTTGCGTAAAGCGACCACTACTGCCACAAGTTCAGCCACAAAATGGGGTATGAATATGGGTAGTCGAATGGAATAAAACCAATCTAAAAACGGGCTGAAAATACCACCCCTTGACTTTTCGTCACATTGCGATGCGTCGGTAGCAATTATAACGTTTGCTGTAATACTGCGCAGGTGATCTTGTTGTAAACCGTATAGAATATATAGGGAAAGTAATTCCGCGTTATTAGGAAAAATATCATCAAATTCAACTTCCACAGGGTATGAATTATCACGACTCGGCATAATTTCACATAAACGTACGCCAAGAGAATCTAGTAAATTTTGCACAAATATATTTTTGGGTGTGAAATAGTAGCCATCCAGCACCAAAAATTGATTCCGGGGTGAAAATAAAGGCTATTTCTGAATGACGTAATGGTGATTCATATATTCTTAAAAACGTCTGAACAGTCAGAAGGCGAATTCTACAGGAAAGAGGAGGGACCATCGATTCGAGATACAACACATTGTTGGCAACTGTTTTAGACAGGCCAAGGCATAAGCGCAAAGCTTCTCTTTCCAGAAGAACTAGAGGCCACGACTTGTAAGCTTGAACTCACGAGAAAAGTACACAACCAAATTCAAATATATGACGAACGTACATGCAATATATTATTACCACTGTGCCTCTTCTCATGGCTATGCGATAGTTGCTCAGTCCAAGTAATATGCCAATGGCTCGCACACCTTTTCCGGTGATGCATTCGATATGAGGTCGCCAGTTAAACGATGTGTGATAAATTACTTCAAGGTATTGAACAGATTCCACCTGTGGTATATCTTCATGTTGGTTAGACAGAGAGATGCGCCCGGGCTATTGCATGGCGAAACAACGAGGGCATATTTATATTCTTTTCAAGCAACTTGCCACGAGCTAAAGCCTCGTAGAGTACCCTACACGAGCAGCAGCAGCAGCAGTATCGAGCATGCATGTTGCCATTCACGCACTAACAACTCAGAATAATATTTTTTCGCGTGTTTCCTTCTGCGCTTTTCTTGCATTTAGATGTCGCTGCCGAAGCCAGACATTGAACCCATCACGTGAATTAATCTTTATGGTGCATTGCTTGTTGTGACTGAGACAGTCGCCGTGACTGGTAGTCACCTTGTAGTAGAAAAAAATCTTCGAAGTTTTGTGTGGTTCTTTATTCAAACACACATTAAAAAGACCTTGTTTGAAGATGACTGGAGACATTTATTATTAAAAAGGGTGAACATCCCGTACAAACAAAATGTCAATCGTAGTTAGCCTGCCATCTTATTCAGCGTTAACCTTGACCATAAAACACGTTCCAAATATGAGCTTTCTCAATTAACGGGCTACCACCTGACAATCATTGTTTGTAGTGGCATTCAGTTCATTGTGCAAAGTACTAACAGATGTTTATATGTATTTATTGTAGAGAAGCGGTGCCATTTCCAAAGGGACATTAATGATGGTTTATATATGAGTTGCGATAAGTAACATAATAATTTGTGTGATCAATTACATCATAGATATCGTAAACATAATAGTCAATAAGGCAGGAGGTGCATTTATATTTATTACAAAGATTCTTTAACAAAGGTTTCCTTGTACTGGTTGTTGACAGTTCGCGACGCCGTTCATGCGATTAAAATAGGTTTACCCTCACTGTCTTCACAGTTATCAATGTTAAACACTGTCGTGTTTTGGCGTTGACAAAACGTCTTAAAGTTTGTTGTGCAGGGTTCTTGATTTTCGTTCCCACTTTTGAAGAACTTGTCGTTACCCATAGTTCGCAGGCTTCGTTAAAATCTGTGAAAATACACCTTTGTATTAGTTTCACACACATCCGAGATATGATAAATATATATACGGGAACGACATTAGGCGAGTTGGTGTGGAATATTTAGGAGTGAACTCCATAGCAGAAAAGAACGACATATAAAAGAGCGAACAACTGCGTTTTTGTTGCACGGAGGCAATAAATATACAACAAAGCAGCCTTTACCGCATGCGCGAAACCCATAAATTTAAAGACATTGAGAACATTTGTTTTTGTCGTGACAAAACTCGGGATACTAAAAAGCGCTTTCCAGATATGCGATCTCCAATCTTTTTTGGCATACGATGGCATGCTTACGCGCAATGAACTTTCTTTTTGTGGATAGCGAAAGCTTATTTTGTCAAGCGAGCGGTTTCTTGCCGATGTCCTACTCAAAATGCAGCGAGCCCAATAGTTTGGAGAGCACTCGCAGGCTTCGGAGCGCAGAGTCAGATTGCTTCCCTGCTTCTGGCTGAAATTATTGTGTTCTCCCTAAGACGAATGTTCCAAGGAGCATGGCAAGAATACTAAGGCTTTAACGTCCCGAAACCACGATATGATTATGAATAACGCCGTAATTAAAGGCTCCGGAAATTTCGATCACCTAATATTATTTCATTTAACGTATACTGATATCACACATCACACAGGCCTCTAGCACACCTTCACTGAAATGCGACTCAGATTTCAATGGTTAAACGGCTATACACGCACAATTTCTCTGCTGTCTTGTTTGGCTCACATATAACGCATGAAGATAAACAGTAGTGATGGTATTATTTGTAAGGGTAAACCATGCCTAAACTATGATATGAATATAAGAGGCGCTGTAGTGTAGGGCTCCTAAAACGGCGACAGCCTGCGACAACCTATTGTGCGTGAAAATTCAAGTAATTGGAGCATATTCAGGTACTTTTGCCTCTATCGAAATGCGGCCGCGGTGGCGAGAATTCTATTCCGGACCTTAGGTTAAGTACTTGGGTAACAGCCGCTGGAGCACTGTAACAGGCCCGTCGAGATAACTTCATTGGAAGCATAATATGTCAGTAGAATTCGTTTATTATTCGGTATCAAAGTTTATCGCTCACTGCTTTCATATATGAGCTCGTTCTGGTGTGCGGGTAACCGGCAGCACTTACTCGTCGTGAAGGCGGATTCGTTACAAACACTACATCTTCACGTGTTCAGCAATAATTTGTCTAGGTAAATATACAAGTATGACCTATTTTGTAATGGTCGTCATGACCACAACAATCAAAGGTGCAGAGTAATTCTCTCCAGTGATTACATATACACTTCTATCGTGAAAAAACTCCGCACTGACTAAATTCAGCCTAATGGTCGGTGTGGCGAGATGAATTATTGCGGCAGTCGTATGCACGACGTGGTCAAGAGTGTGAAATTATACGTTCAAGTGGAGGACGAAGACTGAAGTGCTGAATGTGCTCATAAATGAGATGTTTTCTAAATATAAATAAACAGTGCTTCATAAGTCATTCTGGATACCACGAATATCTCTGGTTAGCCTTACCACCTGCGAAACTTTCTGCATGACGTAGTGGTCATTGGAAAAAGACACCTTAATTAAACTACCTTATTTTGGGACACCAGATGCACGACGATACTGAAATCTGCATTGTGTGGCAAAAGAAACTAATATGGTGGGCCGTCAAAGTTAGTTAATACGTGAATAGAGAATGCGTCAAGTTTCAGAGAAGTGCTACGCTAGTGTCTCAGGCTTGAAACCTTTGGTGCGATAGATTCATGGCCTTCAGTTGTCCACACTCACCCCCGTATTCACAAACGCTCCTCGATTGACTTTCAGTCCTCACTTGACAGAGTTGAGCACTGCGCCACCGCTCGGCTGGAAATAACGCTGCGCTACTCAAGAATCACAGCCGATTATCGCTGATATGCAGTGATTTCCCGTGCCAAAAGGCGGCACTCCCATCTGCTTTCTAAAGTGAAGGTAAAGCGTTGAGTGAAGGGACGTTCTAGAATGCGGGGGTAAGTTTTCAGGGTATCAATGCTTAGGCAAACTTACGATCTCCATCTCATCAAAATTCCTAAAAACCATATAAATGTCCTGTTTTCCAACCTGACAAGTATCTCGGTGCACCAGTCGACAGCGTCCAGTGTACCGCATGAAGTATATCAGTGTGCTGTACGGCCCTTAACATCAACATTGGACATGCATCATTGATGATGCTGGCTTGCTCGAGTGAACGCCAGCCGAAAACGACAAAACGTCAATCCACATTCTCGCTATATTGACGCTGTGAAATATCTGAACAAGAATTTGTACGGCTTACTCCAGCTGCAAGAAAAAGGGCTGCCGTTCATCTTTGTCGAGGTAAGAAAAGCCGAGACGGCAGAACAAGTGGCAATCGCACTCGCCAGCACTTCATGTATGGACGGAAACGAAGTATTCATTTACTACTGATCCGTCGCGCACACCTACACGAGACACTGAATCAAGGTCGAAGCGGTAAAGTTTCCGATGAACTTGGCTCCATCTCACCTTGATAATGTGATTGCTGAGCCACTAGGAACTCGAAACGAAAGAAGTGGGTCATACTGTGGCACGTAGTCAACAATAACAACCTCCCTTTCCACGCGAGAACCAGCTGTTGTGATAACTTTCCAAGAGGTGGGAATAAGGCGAAGCATGCAGAGCTATGACACTCATGGTGAAGCTGTGAATAATAACAACGAATGGAGAGTGGCGAAATGAGTCCGCAAATGCATAACCGCAATACAGCATAAACCAATAGAAGGAATCCAAATCCCACATATCATTACGGAAATCCTATATAAAGAGAAGAAAAAGAAAAGCATTTTCATCCTGAACATTTATATCCCACCTCGACAAAGAAAGGACCACTTTCGACAAACTATTTGAAGATGCAGCAAAATTAGCGAAGCAGAACACGCTCATAGTGGTAGGGGTACTTCAATGCAAAAGACCCAAGCTGGGGATACCTCACTCAGGATGCCAAAAGGCAAAAACATAGCCCAGCAAATAGAAATTACAGGTATGACACTCTTGACGGATCCAGCAATGCCAACAAGACTAGAAAACAGTAACTCCAGAGACACAACACCGGATCTAACTACGTGCAAAAATTGTCAAGAGGTGGAATGACACAACGCTCTAGAAAATCTAGGCAGTGATCATTACATATTCTGCACCACAATGCACACAGATCAGATACGTGAAAAGATTCGCGCTGCCAAAATAACTAATTGGCATGCGTTCAGAAAATCACTGGAACAAAGGTTGACTGCCTCAGATATAACAAACTTGAGTGATTGGTGTGACGAAATAAGGCGTCAAAAAGAAAGGTACAGTAAAGAAATAACGCAATCAAGCAATGCACCTGAGGTCGATTCACACCTACTACATCTTTGCAACACAAGAAGAAGCCTTACGAAAAGATGGAAAAGACAGAAACGTAACCGTGAATTGAAAGAAAGAATCAAGGATATCACCCAGCGCACAGAGGAATACGCCAATCAACTAGCTGCAACTAATTGGGCCTATTTCTGTATTCACTCAATGGAACACTGATAACGGCCTAAACATGGAACATACTGAAAGCCATGATAGACCCCACGAAGACAAAAAAACAGCAAAGCCGTTGAAAGATTGCTGCACTTATACCTTGGTACAAAAGAGGACCTCATTCAAGCCATGCATAAAAAATTCTTTGGGGAAGACGGAGCGGCGCCTTCATATCAAGGAAGGTATAAAGGATCACTGTAACCTGATTTAGACAAGCCTTTTACGGACGCTGAGATAAGAGCAGCCATATTTAGTAACAAGAAGAACACAGCCGCGGTTGCAGATTAAATCACCAATGGTATGATCACGAACCTAAATGATGAAGACATTGAAGCTCTCACTAAATACATAAACAAACATTGGCTGGCTAGAACTGTCCCACCAGAATGAAAACATGCGATTGTGGTCACGGTGCCTAAACCAGAAAAAAAGTTGCCATTGAGAACCTGAGACCTATCTCGCTCACGTCCTGCTTAGAAAATATATTTGAAACACTGGTGAACACAAGGCTCCTCAACCATCTCGGGAACAACAGACTCATGCCCGAAGCTATGTTTGGCTTTCTCTTACATCTTTCAACGCAAGATATTCTACTACTTTTAAAAGAACAAGTGTTAATGGACATCTGCAAGGTTGCGGAAAATGACATTATGGCAGTTGACATGAAGGGAGCCTTTGATACCATTAGTCACAAAGCAGTACTAGAAGGTCTGGAGGAAGCTAACTGTGGAGAACGAATGTTCGACTACGTCAAAAGATTTCTTAGTCACAAGACTGCAACAATCAAGCCTGGAGATTACGAATCCGACATCATTAAACCTCCAAACAAAGGAACACCCCAAGGAGCGGTCATTTCACCGACACTTTTCAATGTCGCCATGACAGGCCTTGCAGGAAAACTCAAAGATATTGCTGGTCTACAACATGCGATATAAGTAGACGATATTACTGGTATGGACAACCACAGGCAGCCTAGCAGAGAAAGAAGATAGCTTACAACAGGCAGCTAGCACCATAGAAGAGTACGCAAGGATACGGGGTCTTCAGTGCTCAGCCGAAAAGTCAGAGCTCATTCGCTTCACGAAGAGAAAAGCACGGAGGATCTGACCCGAGTCTAAAGCTGGAATTCAAGCTCGACGGAAATGTCATTCCGAAGAAAGATACCATACGAATACTAGGAATGTGGCTTCAAGCTAATCAGAAATGTCTGCACCCAATAAATCAACTCAAACATCAGTACAGCAGATCTCACGCATGATCTCGCGAATAACAAACAATCGCAAAGGCATGAGAGAACAAGATGCCCTAAAATTGGTCAAAAGCCTCGTCATCAGTCGCAATGCATACTCGCTTCCGTATGAAATTATGAACAGAGAAGAGAAGGTAAAAGCAAACCAAATAATCAGAATGGCCAACAATACAGCCCTGAGATTACCGCGGAATACTTCAAACGACAATCTACTGGCGCGTGGCCTTCATAACTCAATTGAAGAAATATCTGAGGCCCAATTACTAGCGCAAAAAATCGCTTTTTCCAGACCCCAACGGGCAGAGCAGTCCTGACAAAACTAGGGCGCGATACTGTATTACAAACACACCAAGAAACTAAAGAAGTACCAAGCGAACATAGAGAATGTTACACCGTAATGCCAATAACAAGCAACACGGATCCTACTCTGCATGCTGGAAGAAGAAAGGCAAGGGCTGACTACATTGACAAAATGACAAGATTTTTGAACACGGCCAGATTCACACACGCCGCGCCTGATCAGACCAATGCAAAGAGTTGTGTGTGTAGTCACCGACCATAGAGGGAAAATTACAGCCTGCGCTTCAATGAATCAGGCGTCGACAACACAAGCAGAAGTTGCAATAGCACTCGCAATCAAAGAGGGGTGACGCGAAACGCTCCATTAACAATCATTACTGATTCGAAGAAAGCTTGCAGAAACTATCTAAAGGGCAAAATTGGAGCAGAGGCGCTCCGTATATTGGTTTGGACAGGATAGGACCGCAAAGTAAAATACGTACAGGCTGTGACTTGGGCACCAGGGCGCGAGGGCGTGACAGAGAACCTGCGCGTGCGGACGAGGCGGCTCGAGGATTCACAAATCACCGAGCCACTCAAGACCATGCTAGTGATGAACCTACACGTCTGGACCCTTGTTTCGCAACAGTTTTAAAGTACTACAGAGAAAATAGGCAGCTGTATCCACGTCTTCATAGCAAGCTCAGCGCTGTGGAGGCAACAGTGCTAAGAAGAATACAGACTAACACTTACATAAACCTGCACACTCTTCACCTGATCTACCCCACGGCGTACAGAGATATATGCCCGTGGTGTGGAGCCACCTAACAATTTTTCACATCACGTGGGAGTGTGCAGAGCACGACGAAGCACACGACACCACTGGCACGTGGGAGAAATGGGAGGCGCTGCTGTCTAGCCCAGCCTTAGTGGATCAGCTGCGAATGATCCACAGAGCTTAACGGATGGCTCACGCCAGTGGGGCCCTGGAATTGGGGCACCACCCTGCCGGACAGACTTCGTTCTCCACCCCGTATATTCCTCGGGGCACTGTAGTTCAAGCCTGCCTGGATTACGTATATAATAACATTTTCTACTACTACTACTGCTACCCGAGAACAGTGGTTGCTCGACGCTGAAGAGCTACGTTCTGTAGCAATGGCATTATATAATAAGCGAACAGAAGCGGTTAAGATGACATATATACCAGCTCTCGTCACACAAATAGAGTGAAGAGACAGTTGCGACATTTCGCAAAATTTCCAACACTACTTTAGTAGTATCGTGCTACGTAACTCACATCTACCTAGTGCCTTACGCCTGAAAACGCCCGATCAGCAATGTACCGGACAACAGGCGTACTTGCTCATCCAGTAACCGCGTACTTAGATCAGAGCCGCTAGCGAAGCCGTAGAGCCTGTGGATGTCGACATCCTCACCAAGGGATCGGAGGCCAGCCACCACGGGGACGTGGACGACAACGGATGGCTCTACACCAGAGCCCGAGATGTTATTCTGTGAAAAATGTTGCCCTAATGCCACATCCTCTTACATAGTCGACCCTACGCTTGGACACTCAGATTAATATTATAAAATAACGTTTATTTCCTGCTCTGGCAAAATAGCAACCTAACTTGTAGACACGACAATTAGAGTGTGCTGATTTTATATTTAACACAGTGCAACTACATGTGGACGAAGAATGTAAAAACGTCAGTAAAGGCAGTGCCTCACCACTGAGACTTATTCAAAAGAACACTGTTTTATACAAAATGTCATGAGCACAACTATGTCGTAAACGATAGGAAAGTGCCAACAGGAGTGTATGCCGCAAGATATCTCAGCCATGTAATCAAAAATACCTAATCACCAAGTGGCGCCTGAAAAAAAACATCAGCTCGCTCTGAGACCATAAAACTGATAGGGCTAATGCACAGATTTTTTTATACAAATGTGAACAGCTACGATGATTTCTCTCAGGAGTTGGTTTTTATAACGGTGAACGACAGTGCAGTATTCAATATGGTGTTCCCAACCACATTCACGGCAGTGCTTTCCGATGTGGGACAACGTATCTACCCTGCTGGCTTTTTTATTCTCGTTAGGCAAATATTGATACAGCACCCCGTTTTCTTTATATACGTTCTTCATATGACAGTGACATATTATACAAGACAACTATTTTATAGAAAACATTTGCGGCCTCGCGCTTGACGCTGTATATGCTAGAAGCATCCTGCTTTACCTATAATTTTCGTCAAAATGCATACAAATTTCCAAAAGTTTCGCCAGTGGCATAGAGGCCAGCAGCGTCTCATGGTCGGCATGGGCGGACATGAGTTCTATAGCGACAGTTGTATCTGAGCATCCATTCGTACCCGTACGCTGCTGCATTTGACTAGGGCTGCCTAGAAATTCAGCCACGCGAACTTCAACCTGCAGCAATTTTAACGTACGTAGATCGCACGGAACGGTAGAGCCCGGCTGCCGGCCCTCGTCAAAGCAGGGTAGTCTGGCAGGACTCCTTATTGCATGCAATGTGGCAAGCCAACATATTTAGGAGGGTACAGGCCAGTTTCTGCCGTACACCTCCTGCAGAGCAAGCGCATCATACTCAATCCGTTAGAACTGCAAAGTTACATAAGCCTGCTGCCACCGCAATGAGTGTGCATTGCAGTAAAACACACTCAAGCAGTGGCGGCGGTGGCAGCAGCAATATCGTGCTGTTGGCGGACATTGACTAGAAAGGTCAACTACAGAGGAGAAGCACTCCACCAGACTGCAGGCCAATGCAATGCAACTGCTGGCTGCCGGGTGCATGGAAGAAGAAGGTCGGAAAGTCGCAGAAGTCGAAGGTTCTTCTTTTCATTGATGGCACACGGTATGTTCTACTTTCAGTGGCTTGGCGCAGCCCTGCTTCATGACGCTACAAGTCAGACTTATCCGTCAAACTCTTCTACACTCCCATACCATTTTTAATCTACTCAAAGTTAAGGAGGCGATCACAATAGAAAACAGAGGGGTCAGCTTGACAGACAGACAGACAGACAGACAGACGGACGGACGGACGGACGGACAGACAGACAGACAGACAGACAGACAGACAGACAGACAGACAGACAGCAGACAGACAGACAGACAGACAGACAGATAGATAGATAGATAGATAGATAGATAGATAGATAGATAGATAGATAGATAGATAGATAGATAGATAGATAGACAGATAGATAGATAGATAGATAGATAGATAGATAGATAAAAGTACCAGCAGTTCTCTAAGAATCACTGCACGTTTATTATTGAGCTTGAGTGATTACTTACCTCCACCTGTGTTGTTCTGCTTTTTTGAAATTATCGCACAGTGCTCTGACGTGTAGTTAAATGCAATGGTAAATTTCATAGATCCACCTATTTCAGACACGGAAACACACATTGAATACACACACAGCTCTTGGCCTGTTGCACACACAGGTTTACACCAAGCCTGCAATGCACGCTTTGGCTTCAAGAGTAAAAGAGTAAGAGATGAGTGGCCCTGGCGTCATTATTTTTTGTCATGGTGTTTAGTGAGTGCAATGAATCGTATCGCAAATAACAAATTTGCTAGTATATGAAAAGTAGAGTTTATAATACGCCACAAATGCAGTGGTGAAAATTCACATCAGCTACCTCAATTTGGCAGTGTCAAGCCCTATTGCAAAAAACGGCATCCCCAGAGTGATGCCATCGCGTTTTTCTTGGCACTGGTACACGTTGGAGACACTAGAACGTGCTGGTATTTATGGTACTTTGCTGGGCGCACTGGCAAGCAGATGTATCGCATTGGTAAGGGCGCTGACTTAACCGCTGGGAGGCTGGTGCATACTGGGAAGCGCTGGAATTTTCACTGGAAATCGCTGGTGCATACTGGAGCACGAACTGTTTCTACCAGCGCAGCGTGCACATTTATGTCGCGTTTGCCGTGGTATTTTTCGTGTCATTGAATATAAAACGCTCGATTGAAGGGCTGGAGAGATGCTATCCTAACAGATACCAAACATATCTAATTCTGCGGCGCACGTACGTCTTGCATCAATTAAAATGCACCTTTTTCGCGTGCCCCAGCGTATACCGGCCATATTCGCATCAGCCGTGTACTACTGTAACGACTTCTTGTTGCAGTGTTTATAAGCCTGGAGCTGGACGCCAATTCTAACAGAAAGAGAAATTGGTTTTTGTCGTCATGTGGACGAAACGTAAATGAGCTCTCTCGATCGCTTCGCAAGGTTTCCCTGTGAAGGTGAGGAAAACGCTGTCATTTGATTCCGCCACACTGCGTGAATGAATGTATGGCCATGCTTATCCTTTTGCTTATTTCAGGTATCACAGAGAAACGTTCCGAAGCTCAAATGCAGAAACTTCAACTGTCCCAACTCACCACGTCGAAAGCGGTCTTACCCAGTGCCTGACCCAGCCAGCATTCGGCCTTTCTTGCCGGCCGCGTCGGTGTGTATATGACCGACGTTTCTTGCTTCGTGTACACACAAATTTAAAGTGTGAGAGTAACTGTAAAATATAGTTTAGACATCCGTGAACATAAATCGACTTCTACCTTGTGTCGATGTTCACACAAAGAGCACTGATGATCGATGCGTCACGCCTTCAGGTACGCAGGCTGTCACCGAAAGCTGCCGGCCGCACTTAGCCGGTACTTCTCTGACTGATATGTAACAACACACAATTTTCAGGTGGTAATTTGGTACGCCTTCGTGAACTGACTCGCTGGTTACATTTTCACCGGATTGCATTATTATTTCTTTGGGCGTTTCTTTTATAATTGTTGGTACTCATATAACTGCAAATCTGTACACTGGCACGCCCGCTGTGTGCTGCCAGCGGAGGCCAGAAAAGCAGCAGTCGCTTGGTATCGTCATTCCTGAAATGCATGTCTCGAAATTATTGACCTTCTAATTACTTCATGTACCGTTTAGGTAACAGTTAGAAATGTTGCGAAGCTCGCTTGCGGAGTCTTCAAGCATCGCAACTCAGCTGCGATGACAGCGGCCTTACCCAGTGCCCCGTCCCAGCGAGATACATCGTGCCGGCCGCGTCGGTGTACATGCTACCGGCGCTTTTCACATTAAGTACGGATAATTCAAAAGCGCAAGAATGACTGTAGGGTACAGTTTAGAAAACCCTGAGCCTAAATCATCCCCACAAGGAGTGGCGACGATCGATGTGTCATGCTTTCAGCAAAACGGGCTGTCACTGAAAGCGTCTTTCAGGGCGCAGTAGGTGGTACTTTTCGTACTCGTATGTGAAAACACGCAGCTTTGAATTAGTAATTTGGTACACTTTAGTGAACTAACACACTGGCATGCTTTTCCAGTGGATCGCATTAGTAATTTCTTCGGTGGTTTCTTAGTTGCAGGTATCCTTATAACTGCGAATCTGTACACTGGCACGCCGGATGTTTACTGCTATATCGTCAATTGCGCAGACAAAAATACTGAATGTTCAATCGCGTGGGCGCATATATTCCAAACAAGTCATTTTAATCATCCGCACAAGTTCACCAGTGGCAAGTGTGAGATGCGACTATCAAAGGAAAAACAATGTCAGCAGGAACAGCCGACAATCTGTGTCTATTCCTGCAGTCAATTAGATTTTTCCGAGGTAAATTGTGAATTCTTCAAAAACCTTCGCGCTCTTGACAATACCCACACGTCATTCGGTGCCCCGAAGCCGGTCGTCACTGTCGAATTAACATGCAATTGTTATTTCGAAATGAATATCGCGTCAATGTTGACTTTGAGACTTTTAAACATGAAGTCAAACGACGTGTTTTCTTTAATAAATACTTCATTTCACAACCCAACAAGCATGTTTAGGCGTGGCGTAGTGGACTTATAGTGTCCATGTTTGCTAGAGGTATACTGCATGTAACTAGTTTTTGTGTCTAAGCTATGGTGTATGATGCAAGTCCTCGTACTGTTCCAGGTAATTGTTCAAAATTACATCGTGTGTTTGCAATACTTGTGTGGGGGATCCAACTACGAAAGGTTCAGTCGCACAAATTTGTTTAGACAGGTGAAGTGTGGAGACCTTGGAATGAGAGGACATCTGTTTATTGAACAGTTGGTAAATAGGTTTGTCTTTTTTGCAGACAAGAGATCCTTCATACTAACAGTGTGTCATACAAGACTAAGTAGACCTGTCACCTGAGTTTGTTGTGAGCACTCATGTTACTACAGGAGCTGTGCTAGAATACATGAAGGATGTTGTGGTCAGTGTGCGGTTTTCGTATGTTCAGTTTTTCAACTGACTACCTGTCATCTCTTGGAAAGGAAAAACTGTACGAAAGATTTATGTGACACTATGCTCCCCATCCCACTGTGCAGAGCGCTATATACATAACGCAAGGATCAGCATATACTTAAATGAGTTAAAAAAATGCTGGCAGCTCCAAGTGAGAAAAGATTCTTTTTTAAATTACACACCGGAACACTTCCTGTGAGAACCTTCCTAGAGGAGTGCGGGTTTTATGCGCCTTGGAAAACTCACTGTCTATTGTGTAAGAAACCGGACACTATTGACTGTTTTCTTGCACTGTTGGGAAGGAGTTTAATTTTTGGACGTAATACAAACAACAATTAAAAGATTGTTGCCGTTAGACCCTCATGGGATCAGGTACTTGGCAATGGAGAATGAGAATGAATTACCTTTCTGTTTTAATGTGATGACTGTTTTGCACAGCATATGGCGCTCTAGAACGGCTGGATTTCACTGTGATCCTGACAGGAGATCAGCAAGAGATTATCTTAAAGTATCTGAAGATTTCTCGAGGTAGTAAAAAAGGCAAATGTATACCTTTATGGTTAAAAAGGGTAGAAGCCCTACTGACAATGAAGGAATTCTAGAATGTGATGTATCATATGAATGTTTGATGGTCTTAGGTATTTTTCAGTTGTTTGTATTGTTTATTGTGTATTGTAATATCTTTTTCTTAGAACCCCGTGTGTGAAGCTTAACGGGAATTACAGAAAATAAAGGCGTGGCGTAGAGGGTCAGGCACTCGGTTCAGAATTGAAATGTGGCTAGTTCAATCTTGTAAGGAAAGCTTTATGTTTTATTTATTTTTATTTATTTATAGACTTATTTATCTATTTATGTCAAATGGGCACCCCGTTTCAACCATGTGAGGCCATTTTGCGCAGCGTACCCAGCGCCTCGCTGTTACTAGGACGCTGCCGCTCCAGCGTACCAGTACCTAAGCGCTGGGAGGCGCTGGAACCAGCGCAACACTGGGCCCGTAATCAGGCATGGCACTGGACTCTGGTACTCAGTGGCGCTGGTATTTGCAATAGGGAGCAAAATAGAATTAACATAAACAAATTAGTGACAATGGCAATACGACTCTTAATGTTTGCTTCCACAAAATTCATCTCTTACACATACGCATGCGTAACCTTTTAGGGTAGAAAATTGGAATATGTATCGTATAGTTGCATCGTCGCTCTTATTTGACATGCTTTGCTGATGTGTGTTCTCGGGATGCATTCGCAAGAAGCATTGCAGCTTGAATTTCAGTGATGCCGGGTGGCGCTATATATTACTTCTAACATATTACTTGCAAGCGCCGACCTGTAAAAACTGCTCACGCGCTCCTTTTATTTTCACTTCAAGATGGCGCGCAGAAAGAGAACAGATATATTTCTGAAAGTTCATCAGTTTACTTTGTATTTAGCGTGTTATGATTTTGCAATCTACACCTTCTTTTATTCAATGGGTTTCCAAGACTGCGCCACAGACACCCACGATAGGACGAGGCCATTTAGCACTTTTACTACCTACACCTATACAAGGACAGAATCCTGAGAAAACCCAAAGTAACAACACAATCTTCAACCGCGAAGTCATAGTCCTAACAAAGCAGTTCCAAAGGAAGTCGGGAAAGCCAGGCGTGCCCGCTCGTTTCAACAATGTTCATGGCTGTTGACTATTTCCAAAGAACACTCGTAGAACGACGAACGGAATGGCCTTCCAAGATAGCTGCTCGAGAATGAGACAGCGATGCCACTGTGAGCGAGGAACCGGGCATTAGAGGCCTTGAAGCTGCAGCACATCATAGACTCGTCCCCATCGTCTGTTGGTTCCTGCCAGGTACCTCGGCGCTCAGCCGGCCTCTAAGACACGAATGCGAAGCCCAACCGCCCAAGAATGTCGCCCGATCTCTTCGCTGCTTCTTTCCTTATTCCTCGTGCCACTCCGCTATTCCCTTTTTTTTGCTCGTGCATCCCATGGCCCACTTGAATTGGTCCTTGTTTTTCATTTCTTTTTTGCCAGCTTTCTGATGAGAAAAAAAATACTTATAAGAAAAATTATCGAAGTCCTAGGCATTTCACTACGCATAAACACTGAGCACCCTATGAAACTTGAAGTCAACAACACGCTTGAAGAAGTTATCGAGGCTTGAAAAACGGCCCAGGCTGCCAGGATTTCGGTCACACCAGCAGGGAGAAAGATTCTGGTTGACACTAGAGTCAAAGTCCTGATGCTCGCAGTGCAAAATACACCACTTGATAATTTTATGCACTTTTTCATCAAACAGTGTCCACTTCCACGTAACATGCGCCCCAAGTACAATGTGGTCACGTGTGTCACTCACGCTCACGCCTGCTCGTCTGTTTTATGCTTTGTCGATGCCATCCACTACGGCATTTCCGCTGATTTTGCAGTATTATCTATAGGTACTAATGGTCAAATTTTATTCTCAGCACGGGTTCGAAATACTTATTTCTGAGCAGAGCACGTGGCCGTTGCACCAGCTTTCCTTGGTCCACAAAGAACTGGTATTTACACAGACTCTAAGTCCACTGCTAGGTCCTATGCTTACGGTACCATTTGCTAGGATGTTTTAGAACTCTTGCTCACTAGAACCTCACACGTCACAACTATAATTTGGTTTCCTGTTCACCTTGGCTCAAAAGTCACGAGCCCTCCTAATGTCAACGAGCTGGCCTACTCCAACGCGCGAGGCTTCGGACACCACGCCAGGACTTGCACAGCTCAGACAGAGATCTCAGCCCCCATCCGTCATTTTAGGGACATTTTGAATCAATTATGCCGTAGTTCCTTTCCACTACCACACAAAAAAGTTGCCTAGGCCACATGCCAACTCCCTTCGCACGCTTCAGACAGGAACATACCTCGGCCTCATAACCTACCCATTACTCCGGCATTTCAGAACTTTGTGCTGACTACCACGATAGCAGTGGTTTTGCTCACTGTTCTGGAGGGGCTTTACAAGGAAAATATCAGCAATTTTCTGACGATGACTCTTATTCTATGCTCACGAGCCTGGTCCTCATACAACAGCTCAAGGTCGTCCAGATGACCTACGTTGGGACGGTGAGGCTAGGCCTCCCCGCTCCTGCATGGGAGCGGCCCACGATCTTACCCCTATAAAACGGGGATGAAGTCCTTCATACCCCAATAAAGTTTTTCATCGATCCATCCATCTCAGGTTTGTGCGAATTTTTTCGTCTTCTTCTCGACCTCATGATGGCGCACATTTTTGAATGCCGAAACGCACATCACTCAATTTAGATACGCAACACATGGTCTAGTTCCATCTTGTGTCCCCGTTCATTCAGCACTGTTTCTTTTCTTTTATTTGTCGTCAGTATGTTTACCGACAACCACAAATATCACCAATGCTGTTACTTTCATGTGACGGACACTATTATAGTTTTGATTCTTAAGCCTTTAATAAAATATCTGCCCCTGTGACGGAACAAACTGGAGATTGCTTCGTATACACACGCAGCCATTTCAATTTTATATCCATTATTAGAGATCTGGGTCATAAACTGATTCAAATAATCTGGGTTAGGTGAACTAAATGAAGCCGCAAGAACAGGTCAGCCCAAAGCCATGGACACTAGCAGAGACTGCAGAATAACGTATTTCAGAAAACAGGTCCACGGCTCAAGCATCAAAGTTGCCACTAGAAGTTATTTAGAATTTTAATTCCCTCTCAATCTTTAGAACAGTGCAGAGGTTTTCTTTTGCAATTTGTTGTTTCTCCTACCATCTATAGCAGTTCGCTATACACTCATTTCACTTATTATATTTACAGACTCTATTAAGATAAGCCCCGCCTTCTTTGCTTTGTTATTGTTTGCTTGGTAAAATTATCATAGTTACCGGTGATTCATAGCTCACTTATCAGCCATGGTATAGCAATGCTCTAAATCCTCAATAACGCAAAACTAATTTTTCTTACTTTATTTTATGACGCTTATTTCAGACGTCACACGTCTACAGATCACTCTCACGTGCGACTGCTATAGCAAACAGTATTGCGGATAACAACATAACTTTATTTTTATACACCGTGCTTTTGAAACACGTATCATTATTATACATCTTTAATTAGATGTAGCTAAATGGAAAATAATAAACAGCAGACGGTGTACCTCTACAAAATGCAAGACCAGATTCTCAGAGTCTAGGAAAAGTTTGGCGGAGCGTGTTTGGGCCGTAGGAGACTACTTACAGTATGATTTAAACAATTGTCTGCATTGCTGTAATGTCGTGATGTCACAACATAGTACGTGCTTTTCGCCGTGTGGTTGCAGTCAATATTCTTACTTTTCTACGGTCGATTCGCTTCGTAGAACTGTTGGTGACGAACAAATCATCAGGTTAAATGTTTTTTGTGAAGCGCTAGCATCCATTTCAGATATTTTGTTATCAGACTTCATCTTAACATACCAGTTTCATTGTGACTGCATTGGTTCTTTAGGCAAGACGTCAAGCTAGTGTTAATGTCTTCAGATTCGCCATTCAGTTTTGTTTAATGAATATCAAAATAAAACATGTTATCAGCACTTCCGGGGCTTCACAATTGCTGCGAGCCTACTTTGCATAGCAGCGATTTCATGGCAGTGCAAACTTTACATATAGAAATGATGTCAGTACTTTTCAAGAGAGAAGCGCAAACTCTTTGCCTATAACCAGTAGTCTAAAGATCGAGTGAGGCACAAAACTGAGAAGGTACATAAAGTGAATGCCTCGCATAAAAAACAACGTGGAAAACACTGATAGCTTACTGCTGTCGACAGCTGTGAATGCTTGGGCTGGCCTACGATTGCCTTCTGCTTTGTAAACCACATCATAATTCTCCCTGCGGGAGCAAGAGACACAAAATATTATGCATTTTATGTTACAGGACACCAAGTCTTCAACGTTTTCATTTGGCAAACAAGAACAATGCAAATAATTGTGGTGTCCTTTAGCAACAACGTCAAATAAATTATTATATATTGGTATGCAATTTGTCCTTTATGGTACAGTATGACTGCAAGGCCTGATAACAAAATATTACCTGTGCTTTCTCTTGCAAACACAGCAAAAATGCGGATCATAGGCACACGTCCCAAATTTTGCTGGGAAAAAGTGACATTTTCTCATGACACGGTAATCTAGGACATATCTGTCGCAAACTTTCATGCATGCTCAGATTTGTAGCGACATTAGTGACCTCATTTTTTTATAAGTATACATTGTGTAAACCTTCAGTTTTACATATTACACATTTACGAATGCTAGGCAAATACGTATTCATTGACATGGCTACGCAGTAAGCATCCATATATTGTGAATGCAAGAATAGGGTGCCACCAGTTCATCGAAACTGACTACCTGTATAGTTAGATGTACTAAGATGGCAAAACCGGCATTTACCCATTTAGTTAGTTTAGGGAGAAACTGCGTTCGGCTTCCGAAACGAGCCCCGGATGCCTTAGAATTGCGCTATCAAAGGCTGTTCATGCGAGAGAAACACGAGCCTTTCCCCTTAGTTGATCACGGCTGGTTTTTAAAATGACCACACCGCCGGTTGTATTTTAAACACGACCTCTACTGCTATACTAAGATTCCTAACACTTTAGCTGTTTAACAGCTACTACTGACACCAACCTTTGGGAATGACGGCATGCAAATTCGTTCACAGGTAACACTATACCGCACTCGGAATAGTAGAAAACGAACACTAAATGGGGGCTTCATTATGGATACGAAACTTCAGCGCCTGTAAAAGTATTAGCTGATTGGCCAGGGGTGTTTTCAACACCAAAGCTGCTTACGAAATCCTAACATGTTCACTCTATGAAAAGTTATAATCATCATATACACATACGTTTGGCAGATTCTAATACTAGTCACCGATACACTGAGAACGAAGAGGTCCACAATAAATACAGCAAAAAGGTGTGTGTCACAAGAATTTTTGCGACTTATCACACAACTAATATTATTATAAATAGATATGTGTCACGAATTAATAAGTACCTAACGCCGTCATGCTATCTACTTGGAACCGCACAGCAATTTGTGTGCTTGCACCACAGTCACGCAAATGTCACATGTGATGCTTTATTTTTATCGAGGACAGCGTACAACTCACACCTAACTATAGGAGTCAATGGGTCACCGAAACGTCAAATGCATTCTCGAAGAATAACGTACGACCCCAGAAGCAAGCCTTGCGCCTGTGCAAGAACAGCAACGGCAGCATTGTGTGGGTCTGAGCAGTATGCTTGAAAAATAGAATGGCAGAGACTTCTTAGACATCAGTATTACAGAACGCATAAGCGTGAATCTAATACTGCATTTAGTCATGACCCGTGCCACGATAGAGCCTATTGCGTAGCGCAGAGAGCCCGTGCTTCTACGGGCAAAGCAGTCGTAAGACCGAAACATTTCGTAGCAACACCGTTACAGTCATTCATCCCACGTAACTGTCATATTGAAGGCAACATCCTGTCGACAGAATCACTGCGAGCATTTTTATACAGCCGAGCTGTATAACGTGAAATACAGATGTTTGTTTTTGAAAATAATTTATCACTATCCTTACTCGTTTTCTCCATGAAAGCCCTGGAGAGCAAAACTCAGTGACTTGATTAGCAATGGATGTTATCGTTCTCATCTTTTTCTGGTTCACTCCCAGCATACGTCGCGAATGAGCAATAATTAGAATTGGCGAAAGATTGAATGCAGAGAGAGAAGACGTTTCAGAAAAAAAGATGAAAAAAGGGAAGTGGAAGGTGGAGTAGAAGAAATCAATAACACAAAATAACGCAAAACCCTTACGCTGCGGTATTCTAACCTGGCTTCTTACGATTTGAAGGCTAATGTCGAAGCTAGTTCACTATACAGGCACAATAGCAGAAACGTTTAAGGCGGCCCTATGACTGTCTTGGTAGATATGAGAAAGTGACAAAATGACAAACAAAAAGGCAAACAACAAAGAAGGAGCATAAAACACAAAACAGAGAGAGATAAAACGATCAGACAGAATATGACCAGCAGGAAAAGACAGCGAGACAAAAAATAGGTGACATGAAACAGGAAAAAATAGCTTAGAATAGCCCTTTATTTAGGAGATATATCATGCTGATGGAAAGGTAAATGAGGTTAAGGAGCAGTGATTCCAGGACGAGAAAGAGAGAAGGAAGCGTTAAAATGCCATTCAATTATGTGCTTCTGCTCACTTCGCACCGATAGTTCATACTTGCCCTGAATTTTTCGCCTGCTGAATAGTTTACGCATGCCTCATCACTACACAAACGAAATGTTCACAAAGACTAGCGGAAAACCTTTCGTTAGGCTCTTCGAGTTGCTTGGCTTGTGCAAAACTTTCATCATGCCGCGAAACCAACTCACGCATCCATATATTATTTTTTTTCTGAAATGCAATAAATAAACGGATATATCTGATATTGGTTTTTACCGACAGGTAAAGAACAATCTCATATCTTTTTTTTAGTTAGCTCGGCGAGTACCTAGACAGGCGTGCACGATACTAATGATTTTCTCGTTATAGGTAGGTGTCAGCAAAAATGTATGTTTTTTGTTTTGGCATGATTTCAGTAATCAAATTCAGCATATTTCTCCAAAGTGGCTCAGCAACCAAAACCGAACTACATCCCAATAACCATCAATTTTTCTATTACGGCCGTCAGGTATCAACATGAACAAGTAACACCAAAAACCAGTGTAGTCGCCTTGTTCACAACCAGTGCTGTTTTAAGCGGGGAACCTTCTAAAGGCGTGTGTCTGTACATCCTCCGATGTATGTAGTAGTAGGAAGCCACCGGTGGCACATACCCGCTCTACAACGAGTATGTGCCACATGGTATGCGAGATGGAAGACGGTGGAGTGTAACTAGATGGACGCACAGACGGACAGATGGACAGACAAACTGGCAGAAGGACGGACGGATGAACGCACGAACGGAAGGACCGACGAATAGATGGACTCACCGACGGGCGCATGCACAGATAGATGGTCGGACGCATGGATGGACGCATAGGTGGTAGCGCGGACGGATGGAAAGGAAGAATGAATGGACGGACGGAAGCATTGACAGTCTCACGCTTCGCCCCACTCATCACCATTCCCTCCTTGGATATGCTGTGATTTTTAAGTGCGAATGCACTTTATAAGCGACCCTGAATCCGCCGTCCGCGGTGCGCCTCCTCCTATCCCCTAGCAACGGTGCGAGGAGCGGAGAGGAGCGTCTGTAGCAACGGCGCAGCAACGCCACACACGCGCGCCGCGTCTGTTGAAGACAAGGCAGCGCGGCGAAGGGCCCGTGATGCCGAGCGCAAGCGGGCCGCGGATCCCGATCTCCGTGCGTGGGAGGCCGATGGGCGACGTAAACGGCGCATCGCCTGCGGTGATAAAGGCGGCGAGACGCCGAACGAAAGCGGATGAAACGAGCCGAGCCCCCTGAAGCCGATCTGGCGGGGGGACGCGAGATGTGTGAGCGAGGGTGGGTCCTGGAGTTTGCTCGTCCAGACGCGCTCTTCAAGCGCGACTTTGTGGATCGCAGCTTCGGTCACAGGTGCGCCGTGTGCGACCGGCTGAGGTTTGACAACAACCTGAGCTGCATTTCTGGCGTGAGGAACGAGACCAACAGGTTCAACACGCTGCGGCTTCTTTAGAACGAGTTAGGAAGATGGTCGGACGAACACCGATGCGACGACATGGATGAGCAAGAGCCGTAGCTTGCTCCGTTCGGTGCGTTCTAGGTGTGTGCCTCGTGGTGAGAGTCCCTGCTGGACAGGCGGGATCCGCCGTTAAGCAAGTGCCACGGCTACGCGTAGCTGCCTCGTCGCACAGGACCTCCCCAATCTGAGCCCGGTGGAAGAGCACCTCATCTCGCTTCGACTACCCTTCATGAGCATCAGATGGCTGACGCGGGGCAACGGTCAGTAGGGCTTTAAAGGAGAGATCGTGAACGTGCCCATCGACGTTCCGAGCGTAATAAAAGAACACATAAACATCATTATAGTGCCAACTTACTCTTACATATGCACGTGAACTCACCAAGATTTTCCGAGAGGGTCTAATAGTTCCTGGGAATCGCAATGTGATCACACGGGGGAGTTTTATGTTAACTCACTGGCGAATGCCAAAGGATTTTTACTCCACTCCCCCTCATAGCATCACCCCGTGCATTCGCACTTAACCATGTTCACCCTCGGGGAAATGCTTGAGAATTTTTTAGCTGATGTAACTAAAACGATTGCCAAGAATTACAAACAGTTATGTAATAATCATATGGGATGCCGCGTTGATAGAAAGATGCATTCCTGCATGCAACTTAAGAACTCTTCATAAGCGTGTTAGCAGCAGCGTGGCGAGCATGCCCACGCTGTGCTCTAACTGTTAGAGAACAACCATTATCTTCCGAACTTGGCAGTCTGCGTTACCGGTGGTTATGTCAGCTTTCGGTGGAAATGGGATGGCACTGTCCTTTATCGAACACCCGCTGCAGCATGTGGCCGAGTGACGACACCTGGCCGGTACGCAGTGTGTCGCCACATAGATAGATGCTTGTGAATGAAGTGGTGCTGCCCCGTTCATTAACAGTGATGTATGCGGCCTTGAGCCGGGTCCACTATAGGACGGTTGAGACCAAGAGCGCAGCCAGCAGGTGGCACACCAGACACGTGCTTTCCCCCCAATTTTGTTTCGCCTTGGAATAGAGACAATTCGGCGAGCTTTGTTGTCGATTTACGTTATGCCAGCAATACCATCACTTCACGTCATCCTAATGCTTTCATTTTTCTGCTGGTGACTTCAACTTTCCCAACAGTTCCTGATGTTCTGAG